TAAAGCTGCAGCAGAATACTTTTTCAAGAGCCCTGGCAAGCCGCGAAAATGGGAACAAAAGGTCGTGGGAGTCAGGCCAACGATTCTCCTGTATCATGCCTGTAGGCTGTATATAGGCTTTACTTTGATGTATGACCGATCCGCCTGGAGCTCAGAGAAGGACATGGAGGACGACATCCACTTGCAGCATGGGACGAGCGATCTGTTGGGTCCCAAGTAGTTGGTTCAGTCTTGTGGTTGCTCAGGTTGCGGTGTTGCTACTGACTGCTACTGGATAGCCGAAGATACTGTTGGAGTGTTTTGGGACCACTTGACAGACATAGCTTGAACGAGGTTGCATGGCATGGCGAATACATGCGGCAGTGGAAGCAGATCAGAAGAATCGGGACAGGGCGAAGAACAGCAACGAAAACGGCAATGGCAGTGACGGGAGGAAGCCTGGCAGGGCCGGCACTAGCAAAAGATAACTAAGCGTCAGTAGTTGCGCGAGTCGAAAATCATGTTGGCCGTCGTTGTGGTAGTGGTAGCAGGTGGGTACGTCCCAGTGGTAATTAGTAATGCAGTAGTATGAGCCGAATTAGTTAGTTTCACAGTAGTAGCACGAGTAGGAGCTGGATGAATAGGAGACAGCACATCATTACGGCCGGACCAAAACCATGGCTTCATGTGACAAAACCCAATGGAGGCCCAAGGAGACCTTGATCTTTCCGCTCGGAAGCGGCCGAATCGGCCCAAACCGTGTGCGCGAGACTCAGGGAGGGATCTAACACCTTGAGCAAGTTCAGCACACAGCTTGCAGATGTCTGGGGGTCGTCCATGTCACCTTGGTTGAGGCTTGAGTTTGGGCTTAGAAGTCCCAGCTAGCGAGCCTTCATTGTGCAGGACCCGTTTCTTACATGTACTTAATTACTTCTGGGTACTGTAGAGTTAGAGTTTCGGCACTTCATCAGTGTTGGAACCTCTCTGTAACGTGATGATTGTACCCAGAATCTCAGTACTGAGTGCTGATACCCAGAACCTCAACCCTCTGTAGGTAAAGTAACTATTGTACCCAGAATCTCAACGAAGAAGGCTAAGGGCAGTGTCGAGACCATAGTTCGCCACGTAGCTCGTCAGCGCCTTGTCATGCACCCGTTGCGTTTGTCTTTGCTTTCAATTACGAGCTTGCCAGGATTCACATGTCCCTCGCGGGCGAAGCCGTTGTCAGTTGCGAGAACGAGGTGTGGAGGGAGTTCATCGATATACTTCGATGTATTATATGCGTAAGTATCAAAACTATAGAACCACATGCGTTTGTGGTACGGGAGCTTTGTAAGTCCTGCTTTGCAAGCCGCCAGCAGCTGTCGCCATTGCTGCCGTCGTGCACGGAGACGAATAAGTAGTGCATGCTCTTGCCCCATTGGAACTTATGAGTGGTTGTCAAAGTTGTGGTCCCTTTTTGTGTCTCTAAGATAATACGGCACCTATCATTTAGGCGACCCAAGAAGGGACCCCCCAATTTGACAACTACCCATATGTATCCGAAGATGCCCAAAGCACGCTTCTGCGCATGATTTTCGGCCCTGGGTGTTTTGGCGTGGTGCCGGCCCGAAGGATGAAGGCAACTTATCCGGAGTGACTTAGTCTTAAGCAACCGGCAGCTACCAGACATCTTTGATGCGGATAGATGAACCTCACAGCTTCAATGCCTGCACAGGGTCAGTTTTATCCGCACACTTCAGACAGAATTGGGACATATTTCCAGACTTGGGCATAGTACAACTCGCAGGAGCCCATCTGCGACGAGTTCGAGTCTGTGTTCTACACTGCTGCCTGGCTTGATTTGCACCGGAAACTGCTTCAAGCGCCTGAACCCTTTGCACATGGTGTGTTCTTTAGCGTTCCCGGCAGTGCGGCCCTTGACCAAGATCAGCTTACTGCGTCGCTGAGTCAAGATGCCCGAGAGAGTCTTTAAAACCGGAGCGTAAACAAAGAAGCCGATAGCATTTATGGATGTCTCGGAGCTCGGAAATGCCCCCCCCCCCCCCCTCCCCGCTGCATCCACAGCAAGGCTGTCTCGGATCCGCGTGTCGTCAGGAGCGCTGTCCTGGAGGTTTCTCAGTCCCAAACCTTGACACAAGGAACGATCATTACGATCCCTTTGAATGCTGTATCTACTGTTGCTGACAAGAGCACTGCCTAGGGGTGTGGGAGCTTCCGAAAATTAGAGGTACCTTATCTGGGGATCCGTATAATGACGATCCTACTATTTAGGGTACTATATCAGGGCTCCCAATTTTCGGAACCTCTAGACCCTAAACCCTTTGTAGAACCAGTACAGATCCCTTAAAGGATCCCTGTAAAGGTACCCACTAGGGTCCCCAATTTTCGGAAACTCCCAGAATACCATAGTAATAACAAAATGGAACCACCAAAATAGTATGGGTTATAAGGCCCCTATATTAAAGTACCTTTATAGTACCCCTTACAGATCCCTATCAAAGTACTTTTTTTTGTATGCCTTTTTTGATCCCTTTTGGTTCCTTTTCAGCAGGACGGACCTCGTGGAAGATCGCTGGCTGCGGTCGATCTTCGATTTGCCGGTCGAGGCCTCCCGCTTTGACTTTGCAGGGGACATCGTCGTGCTCAGAACAGGGAATATACCATAAGTCCCCTAGTTTTTTAACGTTCAAATAAAATGGACACCATAGTTCTCGTAAGTTTAGGGTCCTGAAGGTAATGCAGGATTTATCATCAACCGAGGTGCGAGAGCCCAAAGCTGAAGCAAGAAGCAGCTCCTTCCTTCACTGGCGCACATACACCCTTTCCAAAAACCGTGTTAAGGCCCCTGTTATTCCTTACGGCCTTTCCTATAAGTTGTGTCGCGCGGTCAGCTCTCATAGCATCACAGTTTGGCGTCTCACGCAGATCCTCCATGCGCTGGAGTGCGTCTGTTACTTTTCTGGTTCTGTTAATGTGCTGAGCGTAAAAGGCGACCAAAACCAGTAATTACTGCTACAGAAGTGAACTAGGAAGCAAGCGAGCCGCTGCAAATTCCCACGATAGGTCTCGTTCAGAGAAGGAACACATGGCCCATCCAAACAAGCCCGATCGACCCCTAAACCGGAAATGCACGGGCAGACAACTCCTCGAGCCCGAGCAGATTGGATTCTTTTAGGGACCCAAAAAGCACATAAGCAAAAATTAGGATAGGGATATCCCATATAAACCCCCTTATAATGAAGCCAATTAAGGTAGGGATATCCCTATAAAATGCTTATGCTTATGTGCCTTTTTGGGTCCTTGCAGGCTGCAGAAGATGCCTTCGCGAAGCCTGGCCCCCAAACGGAGCAAGTGGCTTGGGAGCTGGGCTTAGGGCAGGCCTTCTAGGTTTCTGCAGATCCCAGAGACTTCGATGCCATGGAAACGTTCGACTAGAAAGAAGGGTTTGGCGAAGGCTACTGAGTCGACGGTAGTCTATAAGTCTATAAGGTAGGACTGCAGAACTAGGATAATCGCATCCCTGGTTCTAAAACCTCTGAGAGACTAGGGTCCCCACTCGCGAGTTGTTGAAGGAAGTCGCTGCACCGGGAATCTTGGGCCACGCCACGTTGGGACCGGCCCGTCTAAGAGTGAGACTCCAGCATCTCAATTGGATTGGATGCTGGTCCAAAGAGTGGTGGGGTGTTAGACTTAGAGAATCAGAGTGGGTGCGGTGAGATTTGGGGAATCGCATGGCTTCCTTGTCTGCGGAGATGATGCCGTCGCCAGTCCTTGATGGAACCTTGGCCATGTGTTGCCACTGATGACCAGTCCAGGGAGTTCTGTTGACACGTCTTGTGACGACAACTCAAGCCGTCTCAGGCCCGAGCCACGTCGAGAGCGGCACAAGCAGACTTCTGAAGAAGCAGTGCGCAGGAGACATCGAGACATATCTAGCACCCTATGTAGGCTACCTATCAGTAGAAGTGAAGCTTAACCACTCAAGCCACGAAACGAAACCTATGAATGACAAACGAAGTTGAGCATCAGCTTGGAAGCAGGAGTTGCTCAACAAAGTCGAAGCAACAAAAGCACAAACTTCCGCACTGCCTAGCCGCCTAGTCTTGTTACGAGTAGTCCAAGCTTTCAGAGTCTTGATTCTTAAAGTGTCTTAACTCATAGGACACCAGACACGAACCCCCTTCATGTCGGCATCCGCCGTTCCTCTGCTCTACGAAGATGTGGTGGCTGAGCATGCTGCGTTCCTTCGGGCAGGCCGTTTGCTTGTGCATTCTCACTTATGCTCAAGGTCCGAAAATAGGGGGGTCGTGGTTGACACATTTTTTGTTTAAAGGCGCCTTTGAGGGTCTTTGTGTTATGCTCGCCTACAACATAGCTGCGCACGTGAGCCTCGCAGCCTGGGATATTCCCCCACAGCGCCTGAGAAGGGTTCAGCACGACCAGGAACCCATCTGCTTCTATCTCTGTCTCTAAACCTATTAAACCGACACCCTAAACCCTGATTCCCCGAACATCAGGCAGTTTGCAGCACCTGCCCCGGACCTTTGGGCGGAGCAGGATTGCTCTGCGAGGCAACGTGGCCACTCAGATGTAAATTGATATTGATTGCAACCCCCGGGAATCTCCACGAACGCTTGCATAAAAGCTGCCGCTTTCCGAGTTCCCCATAACTGGGACTTGGACAATCTCTTGTCCGGGTCGAGGATGGTTTCCGGATGTGCTGTTTATAGTAACGCTTCCGTGTTGCAGAGCACGACCTCCCAAAGCTCCGGAACAACCACAGTAAGGAGCCTGCAGAAACTACTTTAATGTAGGGGCCTGAATAGTTAGAATACAGGTTTGGAGCGTTCATTATCATTTGAATAAGGAACCCCCAAAATCCTGTTCCAATTATTAAGGCCCCTACATCAGTTCTGCATGAAGAAGACCCCCAGGAAGCCGATGACATAGAGCACGCGCACCGCTTCCTTCGCACGGCCCACTTCTTTCTTCCTGGCTCTTGCTTCAATTCCTCGGGAATGGCGCGTGACGTGGGCCGCAAGCTTGTACGCTCATGATCATGATTGCGAGATTACTCTGCTGCCTCTGCTGCTGGGCTTGTGGATGATCACATCAGCGTGTATCAGACCAGCGAGCCAGGACCTGTCATGTCTTATTCAATGCTGTCACTCGACATGGGATGTTGAGAGTTGCCGACTGCGCAGCTGCGTCGAATCCACACCTACGAAAGGCAAATGCTGTTCCCACCCTCAACGAGCACCGCGCGGGTGCTTCGATGCTTGGCGAAACGACAATCGACGGTCGAGCCCCAAATTCAAGTCTCAAGCTCTACGTCAGTTGGGAAGTTGACATTGGGAGTTGAACAGAGTAAGTCCTCGGCCTAACGTGTGATCAAAGCTACCACAAGCAGCTTACAGTTTCGAATGCGGAGCCTCTTAGTTTGGCCCAGCTTTCAATTGCTTTGCATGCCGTTGTCACAAGATCTTGCACTTGCGGCGTCACCCACTGTTCCAGAGATACACGACATGCAGACTCACAGCGTCGCGCTGACCCTCCCAGAGTCCGGCCCGGATTTTGCTCAAGCCGAGGACATCACCAAAGCTCCACATCTATGTTGCTACAAGGACCTGGCTGTGCTCCCTTCGCACTTGTTGCCTTATTGTTGCCATGCCTAGGCAGATAAAGACTTGGGAAGTCGGTCGAACGATCACAACGGCAACGATTGCTGCTACTGGTGCAATATATTATCTACTATTATTATACCATTTAGCAATTTAGCAGCTATTTCCTAGCATGCGCGCGGGAACCCATGTGTGTACATAGTTGGCCATGATGGCATCTCAGCGGGACGGAGCGTGCTTGCTGCCCGAGGGAGAGAGCGCTGAACACAATCGTTTTGAAGTAAACAACAGCAGCAACGAGAAGATATGTCCTCGCAGCATCTCGCAGCCGTTGTCATAGCGGTGCTGGGATCAACAGCAGCAGTACAACCAGGTAAGTAGGACTGGGACATACTGCGACACGGGACAGTAATTAGAACAGCACGTGCAATCATAGCACACCGCCATGCAACAAGTCCTGTACAATACACGATGGCCTGGAAATCACAATCACTGCCCCCATCCTCCTCGTGTTGCCAGCATGCTACACCCGAGGCGAATGCGAGAGTAGAAGAGTGTTGTTTAGCCCATCGATAGTTTCGCTGTGGATTTCCTGAGGCGGAGCTCGAAATCACATATTGGACCCGATTGCACACACAACCCCGCAACGAAGAACTACCAGTGCTTCAAGATATGTTGTGTGTGTCCAAGACGGGTTTCGTAGCTTTCCTGCCGTAGTCCATGGTTCCTGGACGGTTTGCTCGCAAGTCCTAGGAAAAGACGATTTGCCTGCAAACTGTGGCCATGCGCCAGGCGAGTGGTCGACAGCCAAGTCAGGATTCCGTGCCAGAGGTGCATGTGCTTGTGGATTGGCTGGCTGAGCTAGTGCACACGAAAAGCTACCCGCCCAAGACGTCATGTTGAGCCGCCTCGTCTCGAATGCCAGAGTTCAATAAACTGTCAACCCGTGTGTTTCGGTGTGCAAGTCCAGCCCAGGGCCTGCGGAACGAGTCTCTCATGCGAGGGAAAATATCATGCGCATTTACTGTTTATTATCATGGTGATGACGGGTACTATCGCTGAGGCACAAGTTCGATGTGGGTTGAATAGCAAAACTAAAAGATGCTTGGGTGCTTTAGCCCCCTGACTCCGGCATCATCTTCATCCTCCTCATCGTCATAATCGTCATCATTGTCACTATTCATCATCATGTGCTTCGTCTTAGCAGTTACTGCACGTGCCAGCATCATTGTAACCCCATGACCGTTATCACCACAGCCGTCATCATCTTGATTTGGTGCCTTATTTGTTAAGACATGCCCTTGTCTGTACTTTCTTCCTTCCCTGAATATTGTGAATCATTGATATTGCTCTGCCTATGACCGCGAAGACTCCTGGTATTTTTTCCGAACTTTACCCCCGAGTAGTGTGGCATTCTTCTCCTTGCATCCTCATGCTGCCCATCTTGAGCTCCGCATGCAAGGTTCAGGTTTCAGATTCTCCGAAACGACGCCCTACCTTGAATGCCTAATCCGCACATGTCTTTGGAAGACAGGTGCCTCGTGTTGCTTGCGCAGCCATGGCAGACCTTTTGACAGCCAGCATAGTGAGGCTGGGTTAACCCAAGAGGCGATATCGTGAAACCTCAGTCATCGTTTGTGCTACTGGCTGCTTGTTCTGTAGATGACGTCTTGTTGAGAGGGTTCGTGGGGTGGTTGTACTGCTAGGGGTATTAGAAGCAGAAAATGAAGCAGAGGATGTAGAACAGCGGCAGGAGGAGGAGGAGGAGGAGGAGGAGCAGTAGTAGTAGCAGGAGCAGTAGCGGTAGCAGCTGTAGCAGTGGCAGCGACAGCAGCAGGGGCAGTGGCAGCAGCAGCAGCAGGAGTAGCAGTAGTCGTCGTCGTTTTCGTCGTGTCAATGTCATCCTGAGATCTCGAGGCCTCCGATTCGTGCAACTGGCAGTAACTGGCACAAATGCAAAGACCGCTGTGCGAGGCAACCATACGGTGGCTAACGAAGTTCTTGCTGACTTGTGAAACGCTTGCCGTGGCCGTTAAGGAAGCATCTGGAACCGGAACACCGACCCTGGAGCTGTGTGAGCTATTTTGTCCATAGTCAGGTGGATGGAGCGCTTGCTGCGGCTCCCTCGGAAGCTTCAGGCACCCTGCTGCCCGTCTCAATAGTTTCGACACAGGGGGGTGAAGACCCTGTCCTATGATATGGCAAGCCCTCGAATCAAAGGCATGGCAAGATGTTCAGTTTTCATTAAGAGCTGCACCGCCCACAACGACCACCACTATCACCACCATCCGGCCCACTGGCAGCACCAGCAGCAGCACCACCGCCACCCCAACCACGATCAGAAGCAGCATTATCACTATCAGGATCGTCAGCGGCAGCAGCAAGCAGCAGCACTTGTCGTCTTTGTCGTAGCTGTCGTTGTAAAGCTTCTGGCAAAACAGTGGCTACTCAAGCCACGTTTTGCGATAAAAGCAAGAGTCATGTGATGAGCGCCATCGTTGCTGATGATGCACGCGGCGCTGAAACGACTGCGGCTTGTATTGGTGTTGTTTCCGTTGTTGCTGTTTGTGTTGTCGTTCTTGTTGATGTCTGAGTTTCGCATTCGGCATGAGGAGCATCAGAATTTCTTGACATGTCTTGACGAAGCTTCAGACCGGCCCTCAATCTGACACAGCATGTCGCTGTCGTTGATGTCATTGCGGACCAAAACCTCGCACATTATGCCATAAGTTACGTTTGCTTGTGGGTTGTATTTGCGAAGTGTGTGTTGGTTGTTGTTTCGCGTTCATGCTTCTTGCTTGTTGGTTGTTATTTGTTGGCTGTTGGCAGTTGCTTCTCGGTTGTGGTTTGTGAGCCATAGAGGAGAGTGGTGTATGTGTGTGTGTGTGTGTGTGCATGCATGTGCTTGTTTTCGTTTCACTTGTTGCAGCAGCACATAGGCTTCAAAGGAAGATATTGCCCCAAAGACAGCGAAGCACTGCAACTTGCAGTACGGAAGTCCACTCCATGTGAGAAGAGCCCCACCATCATACCTTCGGTATCGCTAGCCTTGTTCTTGGAGTTGTTGCTGTTGGTGTTGTTGTTGCTGGTGGTGGTGGTGGTGGTGCTGCTGCTGCTGCTGTTGTTGTTGTTGTGGTGGCGGTGATGGTGGCGGTGGTTGCGGTTGTTGTTGTTGTTGTTGTTGTTGCTGCTGGTGCTGGTGCTGGTGGTACATGGGGCGGAGAGGGTGTTGAAAGCAGCAAATGGAAATTGTGATGGGCACGCACAGTGTTGCCAGGCCGCATGAATTGCTGCAGCACATGCGTTCACGAACTGAAATGTCTCTGCTTCCAGGCTACTGTATACGGTACAGTAACGACTCGAATCCACTCTCCACGCGCCCTCCCCCACCCCCCTCACCGACAGGAAGCACCATGATTTCCATCACGCCCCCCAAGGCATCGCTGGCTCCATGGCGGACCGGCTGCAGGCGAGATCTTCGCGTGACAAATGTATTGGTGTAAAGTAAAGGCTCTCAAGAGCTAATGAGGGCTCCGGTTGCAGGTGTTGGGGCATAGAGGTGTCATGTTCCATGAGGGAAGCTGGTCTGGGAGTTGGCTCTTCTGTTGGGAATATCCGTGATAAGATGGAAACTGTGATCTTCATGATGCGTTGCGGCACAGATTAGTCAACAACCTGTTGAGCTTCATACTCGACGAACTATTCTCGATTCAAGAGCTTTGTTGTTTGGGCTAAGGCTAAGGTTAGACTTACGACTTGAAGCTTTGCCGGCAGTCTTGAAGGATGTCAAGCTTCGTCTCGCTAAGCCCTGCATGGTACGCTTGTTACGGCACTTTCATATACTTCCACGACGAAAGCTATGGTGATTACTGCAGCGCATGCATGTTCGGCAACACGTTTGTCAAGATGAATCGATCGCTGATCGGCTTGGGCATAGGAACTGCTTGAGAATGAAACCCCAGCCCTGAAGCCTAAACGGGCCTCCGAACGGTAAAGCCCAACCCTAAACACCTGGATTGTCCGAGTGTGCTCAAACACTTAACCCTCAACCCAAACCTGACGTCTGTAAGACGAAAGCAAAAGAGCCAGGAAAAGAACCGTCGAAAAAAGAAGAAACCAAGACAGCCCTACTGCAACTTTCTGGACTGAGACAGAGGCCGCCAGCCGAAACAGCGGCGGTCGTGCGCTTCGAAGGTACAATAGGGGCCTCAATAATTACCTATTATATTGTGGGGGTTCCTTACTAGAATTATAGTATAATATACCCCCAAACCCTATTCTATAATTATTAAGGCCCCTACATCACGCAGCCATATCCGACCTCCCCCAGCTGTTAAAGCAGGGTCATGCAAAGCTAAGCATTCAAAACCGGTCTGGGGGTTTCTGGTTCGCTGCCTTTCGGGTTAGTTCTACACGGTAGGCTTTGGTCGCGCCTGATGGTGGGCCTTGGAGTTCAGAGGGACGGAGCATAGCCAGTTGCAAGGAAGCAAGCAAGCCAGCCTGCCAACCCAGAATAGTATACCCTAAACCCTATAGATCCCTCTAAGGAGACCTATAGATCCCTTTAAGGAACCTTTAAAGGAGCCCCTCATAACCCTAGTTACTTTAAGGAACCTCTAAGTAGATCCCAAGGCGCGCGTTTTTTCGTTTCAACCCGGCTCCCACGATGCTGCGCTCGGCTCAGGGCTCGTTCGAAGCGTGGAGTTCATGTAGCATGCTGCGTCCACATGAAATTCCCCTCCATAATAATAATAATAAATAAAAATAAAAATAATAATAATAATGATAATAATAATAATAATGGTCCACATGAACTCCCCACCATGCTGCACCTCAAAACCCGTCGACAAACGCAAAGTTTGAGTTTATTGAAATCGTAGAGACTACGCCAACGAGGAATCATCGTTAATTGGCAGGCTGCACAGCTGGCTGCTGGAGCATTGCTCTTCGTCGACGATCTTCGGTTCTGGGCTTTCGGCTGTCGTGCAAACACGGGATTTCTTCTCCATCCGATTGTGGTCTTGGTCTTCAGTCTCCGGCTTACGTGAATCAACAGTGACGCCTCTTGGGATTTCCAGCTCATGAACCAAGAGCCCGAGGCCCATCAAGACGTGCACTCACGGCGATGAGGCGTAATCTTCTGTTTTGGGACGCTTGCCTGGCAAATTCCTATATAAGACCTACTCGTTGGAGCCGGTTGGAGCTAATAAAAGCTGGTCCTATCTTGCTGCAAGGGCTTGGAAGCAGAAAGGTCCAATATTGAAAAGACTGTGCAGACAGGTTCTGCCCAAGCAAGTCAACGCAAGAGTTAGCCTGACAGGACAGAGGCTCTTGCAGACCGAAGCACAGCTGGCCCTTCACCACCGCATGCTGCCGCATCCAAAGCTCCGAAGCATCTGCAGCCAAGATACTAGTGGAGCGGAATTAGAAGCCCAAGCGCTCAACTGCCATCTGACCTCGAACACAAGCTTCCTCTGAGTCTGAGGCAGCATGGTGTTGTTTTCGACAGGTTCAGGTTTCGAATTTGACGGCCCATTGCTTTTGAGAAGTGGATGTAGAAGTCAATGGGATTTTCACGCGGCAGAAGGAGAAGTGGCAACGGCCCTGCACAAGCTGCAGGGGAACGGTGCAGCTGCTCGTCATGAGAGGCTTCATGTGCTTGTTTTCTGGATCTTGTTGACCCCTGAGCCCTGCAAGACACTGTTTTCATATGTTTTCATGCCACCCGCCAGAAATAACAAGAGCCTTAACACGAACCTCATAACAAGGGGAATTGACAGACGGCAACCCCAAAGTGATCTCGACCAGCAGCACCGACAACACCAATGAGTTAGCTACGGTTGATGATATAAATCCTGCATGACCCATAATAAGGAATATACCATAATTCCCATAGTTTAGGGTCCTTAAGGTCATGCAGGATTTATATCATCAACCGTATCATGGAGATTGAAGGTTTTGGCGCAGGTTGTGGAATCAGGAACCCCCGACACAACATGTGCGAGTCAGCCAGATGAGTGGCAACAGGAAAACAATGTGAAGCATACTCCGAAGCCACAAAATCCACAAAACCAAAAGTCAAAGATCCATAACAAGAAAGCCAATCATAACGCCAGTGTAATCATAGTATAATGGGCCCCAAAGCCCCAAAACCACGTTCTGTTTATTAAGGCCCCTTCATTAGAGGAAACCATCCACGGTGAAGAAGTCCCCGACCCTGAGCCCAAACCCTGCCTTAATAAACTTCGGAACCCTTAGACTGGGTTCTTGTTAAGGAGTTTCATTTAAGTTACCATAGTAGGAGTTTAATCTAAGCTACCATTAGAAGGGTTTATTGTAAATGGACCTGTTAAGCTCCCTTAACAAGAACCCAGTAGACTCAGTAAAGGGTTTATAGTAAATGGATCTCTTAAGCTCCCTTAACAAGAACCAGTAGACTCAGTAAAGGGTTTATAGTAGATGGATCTCTTAAGCTCCCTTAACAAGAGCCCAGTAGACTCATTGAAGTTACCATAATAAGGGTTTCTAGTAAGTGGCTCTCTTAAGCTCCCTTAAGAAGAACCCAGTAGACCTAATCTGGCCCGGGCAGCACAGGAACCTCACCGCGGCACTGGAAGTGTGTCGGGCAAAGCTCCCGAAGGCTCCCGTGCTGCAGGCGCCGAGGTTTAGGGGATTCTTTTGGGGATTCCTTATTATAATTAAAGCTTAAGATTTGGGGGATTCTTTTGGGGATTCCTTCTTAGAACTACAACATAAGATTTAGGGGATTCTTTTGGGATTCCTTATCATAACTATAGTATAAGATACACCAAAAGAATTAGTAATACTATTTTGGTGGCTCCCTATTAGAATTATAGTATAAGATGCCCCAAGACCCTATTCTAATTATTAAAGCCCCTATCGGGTATTCTGCCACTTATGTCCGAAAAGATTCCTGAAGGTCGATCGATGTAGATCAAGCTTTCGGACAGTATCCGCCTCTGGCTTGGCAACTTCTAGTTGAGCCCTTAAGCCACAAGATGTTCCAGACAGATCTACAACCACGGTCGATACCTGCCAGTCGAAAGTGCAAACGATTGCTTCCCCTTGCTGGGATGCTTAGCGCCGCCCTAGTTAAAGGTGGGACTGAAGCCAAGCCCTAAACTCTCAAGCTGGTTGCAATATTGACACTGGGGCCTTAAACCCTGAACCTGCAAAGCCCTAAGCCCTAAAAAAAGCTAAAAACCCTAAACCCCAAACAAATCCCAGTGCAAGAGCTGTGTTTGCGGCTGGTAGAACATCACGGAACAAGTTGCGCAGCTGTTCTGCAAATTCCATGGCTCAGGGCACAACACCCAATACAGCTCGAAACGTGGTCCTTAATTCAAGCACCGCCACCACAACAGCGGCTGCAGAGTACAGACAGTGCACGCATGGCAAGAAGCTTCTTCCGAGGACTGCCTCTGCTCGGCACCAGTTTGGCTCAACCAGACTGCCGGAAGTTGGCAGGTGGTCTCAGACGAAGGACTGCTGGGATTCCACGGCACCGTTCGTGGTGCAAGTGGCTTCACGCATCTTTCGGCTGCGGCCGCATCCGGCGCTGAAGCGCTGAGGACTTGGGGTTTTGACCAGCTGAATGAGACCATCGAAGAAGCGGAGTCCTTGGGCCTGAAGTTCTCTGCTGGCATTTGGCTCTCGCACAACAAGTCACACTACGACGACTGCAGTGACATGGATGACGACCCCTATTGGCGGACCGAGCTGGATCGCGTACTGCAGGGTGTGCGAGCCTTCAAGGCATCTCCGTCCATCCTTTGGTGGACAGTCGGCAACGAGATCGAGTTCGCCACGGAGGTGACCAAAGGTTCAGATTGCACCTGGAGACGGCTGGAGTGGTTGGTCCAGAAGGTGAAGGAAGAGGACCCGATGCACCCGGTGGGCACGGTCTTAGCAGCTGCTCATGATGAGAAGGTAAAAATGGTCGCACGGATCGCCACGTCCCTGGATTTCCTCGGCATCAATGCATACGGGGAGGACTCTCTCAAGGTTGGGACGACCCTGCAGCGTCTGGGAGTGACCTTGCCATATGCCCTCATGGAGTTTGGCCCGACAGGGCATTGGGCTTCGCCCGTGACAGCTACGTCCTATATCGAGGAGAGCTCCACAGAGAAGGTGCCGAGGTATGTGGCAACCTGTGAGCTATGCTTCTCTGATCCGCAGTGCATTGGTGCCTTCGCCTTCCTCTGGGGATGGAAGTGGGAGAAGACAGGAACCTGGTACGGCCTCTTCAATGAGTGGCCCGAGGTCACCACGGAACTAACCAAGGCCAACTGTACCACCTGCGAAGCCGAGGTTCTTGGTGCTCTGCAGAAGTGCTGGACGGGTCAGGACAAGAGCAGTAAAGCCCCAAGCCTCCACGAGGTGAAGCTCAACGGAGAGGCCTTGGAAGGCATGCGCTTCTCGGTGGATCAGGAGGTGGTCTCCCTGGCGGTGAACGCGAGCCAGGCGCAGGGACAACCATTGACGGCCTTGTGGGTGGTAACCGAAGAGATCGTGTCAGACGCTCTTTTCGCATTCGAAGCTACCAATCCTTTGTTGGCGGACGTGTTTGTGGACAGTGTGGAAAACACCAGCGCCCTGGGTCTGGAGGTGCAGCTCAACGCAACCGGTTTGACGATGGGCGGCAACTACCGCCTCTACGTTTTCGTGAGAGAAGATCCGGACCATTGCAATGGCCCTTGCAACAACCACGAGTCTGTGGCTTCGTTGGCGTTCCGAATATGCCACGATGCACAGCCTGGCGAGGAATGCTTCAGCCACGTGTCTTATGCGAAAGAGTATGGCCTCCACAACCACCCTGGCAGGTATCCGGGCGTCACGTCCGAGTCTTCCTTTGCAGAGGTGCAAATGTCTCTTGCCCAGAAGCAAGTGGGATCCTGCCAGATGCCGTGCTCCATCCAGGAGTGGTGCCACACGGTGCAGCCGGGGGAGGAGTGCTACGACTTCGTCCAGTGGCTCTTGGAGGGCAACAATACACAGACGGCACCAGAGGCGCTCGCAGATGCCAGCAGCATCAAGGGAGCCCAGCAGACCATTCACGAAACGATGCCAGGGATCTGCGCCCGGCCATGCAAGACTGAGTCGCCACAGTGCTACCCGAACTGCTCAGACACGGGTGGCGCAGGAGCTGGCAGTGGTTCATCGGAGATGAGTGGAGCCCCCGCAAGAGCTTTCGGGGCCGTGGCAACCCTCCTGGCTGCTGCTTTAAGCTGCTGAGTTGTGTTGCGTACAGAGAGTCTCGGAGGGGCCGGGTCAGAGGTGAAGTTATCTAGCTGACGATAAACTTGTAGAGCGGTCACATTATCTTTAGAGACTTAGGACGCCTGGGGTTGCGAGCTGAAGTATTGGATGCAGGTTCTTCTTGTTCCGGCGGGATCCCGCAGGGACCCTCGCATTCTGTTTGCATGCCCGATGTGCTGCGCCTTTAGCTGCCGAGCCGCTGTAAACATGCATGCTTCGGCAGATGACCGGCGATGGTCGATTCCTAAATCTATGCACGCACATGCTGCAGTTGATTATGACCAGAGAAGCAAACACAGCAAACCTCCTCGAAACACGGAGACTGTAGGCCGGCTGTTCAACGAGCATCGGAAGTCGTCGACGGATGCACAGCTAGTTCTTGGCCCAGACATGCCTTCCACAAGTGGTTTTCGCTTGCGGGTGCGATCAATGCTAAGTCGCACGCACTGAAGGTTCAGGCAACTTGCCGAGCTTCAATCAGCACGTCGCCTTGCTCAGTAAGGTTCAGCCGCAGGGGACCATGAGTAACCAAACTTTGTGCATTTTGGACCTTTCGAAAGAGGAGCCTGGCACTGGCTGAATGGAGAAGCTTGCGGCAAGCGTGTCGCATCTAATTGTGGCCGGCAACATGAGCTGCTTGTAAGGCCAAAGGCCCGTGAGTCGTAGCTGTGCCGCCTTGCGATCACTTATTCATGACTCTTCCTTAATTATACCTGTGGCTCTCTTTCCTGGAATTGTCAAGTGTGGCTACAGCACAAACCGTTGTGGAGACTGACGCCTGTCAGTGAGAGCTGGAGCAATGCCTCTGGCACAGGATCCCGAGTTGATGTGTGCTATTTTCTTACCAAGTACTTTCTGAGATGTTTGTATTACAAGTTCTGTTATGGCACAATCAACCTGGTGGTCCAGCCAGCTATCGCGACGGACATGTGCGGAGCCTTGCCTGCCTGGTGGAGCGAGGAAACTTTGTTGCCCTGCATTCGTCCTTGCCAGGTAGTCTTTGTCATAGTTGGGTAACATTTTACATGTTTATGGGTACTTAAACCCAATAGGGAATAAAGATATAAATCTTTAATCCTATCCCAACCATGAACTAGGAGTAGGCAAAGCAGCCATGAACCGGAGGTGCACATCGCCAAGACCGCTGGCACTAGCTACTCGGCAGCGCAGGGAGCGACGGACCCCGGTCTCGGATCCAGTGAATTTCTAGGGTTTAGAATTTAGGGTTCAGGATTGCTGCGGGTGAACACGAAAGGCCGCGATGCAAGGATCTGGCTGGCCCCAAGCCCAGTGGCAAAAAAAAGGATTGCTGCGAAGATGATTGTGGGTCGTAGACTGGCTAGACTTGAGTCCAGTAGCAAAAAGGATTGCTGCGAAGAGTCCGTAGGCGACGAAAGCCCACATGCTTCATAGACGGTCTTAATGCGCACTTCTCCAGGCTTCTGGTCCGGAAACAAAGTTGGGGATCCGAAACCCCGGAGCCCGGAACCCCAAGCCTCCCAGCCGAAGCTTGCGAGACGGAAAACGGTGTTCAAGCAGAGCCATGTTTGACACTGATTCGTAATGCTTTTGGTTTAGTCTCAAAGGGGTGGCTTCGAGACTGTCCGAGGAACCGCATGCATAGGCTGTAATTACCCACCACAAAACCTAAAGCCCCAAAGACCTTGACCTACATCCTAAACTTGTTTACCGCCGAAATGACTTTAAAACCCTATACGTACACCCTGAACATCTCCGAACCTTACGCCCTCTAAACCCTACATCCTAAACCTTACAGACATCGAACAGGCAGAAGTAAAATAGCACTCCAAAAAGTCTCAATTCGAGGCCTTTGCACCTGGGCGAACAGCAGCGGTCTTCCCTCGCGGAGGCTCGGAATCTGCCTGAAGTCATGCATTTCGGGTTTGGGCTTGAGGAGTTTAGGGGTTGACGGGGTGCGTTGCTTCCCAGCTGAGCGGCAGAGTCTGGGTTCAAGAAAGGGGTTGAGGTTGTAAAAATGGTAATAAATGGTGATAATAGTCATAATGACATATTTATAATGGTAATAACGAGGTCCGAGAGGCTCTGGCAAGTTCGGGATTTGAAAGCTTGTATGGATGCTGCAATGTCACGCAGTACGGACCATCTGGGACGTCAATGTTGCTATCTGATGGGAATGATGTGCAAGAGGCTTTCCAAAAAAACAAGGCTTTATGACGACTTTGCCAATCAGCCGACAAATAATAGGATTCGCCAGCGAAGCTGAAGTGCTCCGGATTAAACCACAATTAGATAATGGCTGCTTGCGGTGACACCCTCCAGCCCAAGCTTCACAGGACCTATCATGCGACAACCGTCAATTTTCAAGTTGATTTCCCTATAGCCGAGCAAACCGCAGACGAGGGAGCACAAAAACAGCCCAAAGCCTAAGCTATCAACTCCAAGCTGCCTTTCATGGAGGTGTTTGTGGCAACTGATCGAGAGCCATCATCTCTGAAACTCTAAATCCTGAACCGTTTAAACCCTAAACCCTAAACCCTACTGAAGCCTTATTCCGAGACCTGAGGCCCCATAGGCTAGACCCCGAACTCATGAAGCTTCGAAAACCCTGTCTTGCCCACCAAGTCCGTTTCTTGAAACCCCAAAGGCTCCAAATCCCAACCTTGTGGTTCAGGTTTAGGGCTTGATGTTCAGGGCCTAGGGACATTTACAAAAGGGTATGACACAATAGAAAGAGGTCCGTTTCCCCCCTTTTTTAAGGGACCTCATGGTTGCTCCGGGTTTGCTGCAATCGCGACCTTGCCAAAGGGGTCAAATGACCTAACGACACCCTACGGCCCTAAAGCTTGCAATTCAACACTCCACTGATAATTCCGAAGCCTGTGCGACACCATAAAACTACTTATTTTGAACCCGTATAGATCCCTTAAAGATCTCTTAAAAGAATCCTTAATTGAAGGATCCCTAAGAAGCCTCAGAAAGGCTTCCAGATGGGCGCTGCCAACTCCCAGGCTCCTTGGCTGCTCGGTGCAGCGGTTTTTCCCTCTCGCATGGCTGGAAGGCAATGTCCGCTCGCGAGGTTTGACACAAGCTGCATAGGCTGACTTGCAGCGGTTTAGGGCTTAGGGCCCGTATGCAGCAGCAGTAGTCGAGCTGTAACCAGTGGGTGCGGTGGTCGGAGCAGTAGCAGTAGCAGTTCTAGTAGCTGGAGTAGTAGTGGTAGTCGTCAGTCGTAGAAGCAGTAGTAGTAGTAGTAGTAGTAGTAGTAGTAGTAGTAGTAGTAGTAGTAGTAGTAGTAGTAGGAGTAGGAGTAGGAGTAGTAGTAGTAGCAGCAGCAGCAGGAGTAGTATTTAGTAGTAGTAGTAGTAGTAGTAGTAGTAGTAGTAGTAGTAGTAGTAGTAGTAGTAGTAGTAGTAGTAGTAGTAGTACTATAGTAGTTACTGCTGATGATGCTACGATGGCGGCGGGAATGACGACTACGTGACTAGCTGCAGGTACTACGACGGCATGTTTTGCCAACGACTCCAACAACTTGTTCGGTGATTGCAGTTGGAAGTGCTGTAAGTACAGTCATGGTCATTGTGAACCCGTTCAGATGCGGCGAACAAAAACGCTGAAGGCGATGGGCCCTTCTGGCTGGGTGAGAGGGCTGCGCCTGCGACGTGCCAGCAGCGGCTTCGGGAGTCTCTCGGATCTACTCCTTTGGATTCCGGCAGTTTCGGATTTTGGGAATCCGGTGTGCTCCAGTAGTCACCTCAGGATTTCAGTGGAGCCCCTCAGGCTCAATCCAAAAGGACTCTGGTGGAGCGAGGATTCAGGTGGATAGCACGGCAGCAAACGGAGTTTATGAATGGAAGTGAAATGAGAGGTTCAAGATTTTTGGTTTCGGGGTTCAGGGCTTAGGGTTCAAGTTTCAAGACACTGCTACTTGTAGCCGCTGATTTTTGATTAGGGCTTCGCATGTGGGGCGCAGGGCACTGAAGTCCAGGTCCCAGTCTTCCTCACTGGATTACTGGATCATGGACTAAAGACGCCGAGGCCGCAGACTTGGCCCCAAGACCCCCAAAATGCCCACCTGCCCACCTCCAACACCTCCTCCAACCTAAAACCTCCGAAGCAAGATTGGCTTTTAAAGTACCTTCCCCAAAGCATCCCTCAACAGAAGACCGATGCTTCCAGCCCTACCCTGGGGCCCAAACAGCAACAGCGGCCCGGCGAATGTCGAGGATGGCTCGGTTCAACTTGTCTTGGAGCTCCATCGAACGATGGCTGGACCTTCCTCTCTGCGAGGTGCCCGGGAAGCTCATGTGTGAAAGGCTCACGATACAGAAAGACAAAGAGCTCAAGATAAGGCTCTGATTTTTTATAAGTTAGGATTTGGGGTCAATTATCTGTCCTCTGAGGCATTCGGGTTGAGATGCGAGGACGGTTGATGTTCTGCAGTTTGAGGCTTGGGTCGGTGGTTGTGTTGGTGACAATGGTGATACTTTGTCCGCCCGTGTGACAATAATGGCTTTGGGTCAGTCAGCTTTTTCCAGGCACGCATGTATTGAACCGGGTTGACAATGGAGCCTTGCATTTGTAAGGCCGAAGCTTTCGATGCACTTCTCAGCATCGTCCTTCGACCTTAACTTCTTCTTTAAACATACTTGAGCTTTTGGTTGAAGAGTCGGAACGCCCCCGAGACGATACGTAAATCGACAACAAACCTCCGAGTGTCAAGGAGCTGCAGTATGTCACTGCACTACGGTTGCCAGTTTCCAGGACGGCTGTCCCGCAGCAGGTCTGTAGACACTGGGCCATTATTGTAAAGGATTCGGGGGCACAAGCAGTTCGGTAAGGACATTGGGATTGTTGGACTTATGCATGGAAGCTGTGGTCTTTCAGATGCCGTATTTCGACCTGCTCAATATTCATCTTGGTATCTAGCACGCTCAGAAACAAAATTCGTTTCTTCGGAGATCAGATCGGACGCCGAAGCCCTTACCCCTATTTAGATGGTCGCTGCTCTTTTTGTTGGGGATTGTCGTGGGGACGGTCGTCAAGGTTTACGGATGGTCGCAGCAAGCAGCGAGTGGCCCGAAGCTCTGAGAACGGAAGTTGCTTGTTTCAGGACTTACGGACAGGGAAGGCTGACTACAGGCACAGTCTGAGGACACAAAGGTAACCCCGGAGCTTCTTCTCTGTTGCTGAAAGACAGCACGTTGAGGAACCTCAAGCCTGCAGGCGCGCAGTTTCAAGCATGAACGTAAGAAGCTGGACACCCGCTTCTTCCCTGCATCCGCAAGGGGAGAGCGAGCGAGAGAGAGAGAGAGAGAGAGACACAGAGAACCGCCCAAAGCCGCCAATTCATCGAAGCCTGGAGGACGCTGCATCACTTCCTTCACTTGCTCAGCTTCTCGGAATGTGTCCCGAAAGCCCAACTGCGGCTGTAAAGGGGTTGGAAGCCTTGGAAACCAATGTACGAGCTGTGACAAGCACTGCAAGAATCCTCGTGACTGTATTGATACGGTTGGTGGTAGCACAGTAGTATTAGTTTTCAGCAGGAGTAGCGATGGTGGTTGTAGCTGCAATGACAGTATTAGCAGGTGTAGGTCAATAGAAGAAGAAATGCAGCAGTAGTCGTCGTCGACGCCGTAGCAGTAGCAGCAGGAGGAGGAGTAGGGGTAGGGGTCGCAGCAGCAGCAGTAGTAGTAGCGGCGTAGCAGTAGCCGCAACAGCAGCAGCCGAAGCAGTAGTAGCAGCTTTATCAGTTGATGTTGGTTTAGTTTGGCACGATGACGACAACATGCGATGATGATCAGAGTGGCCGCGACGAGCCGGCGGCACATGCCACTGCATAACCTATCAATAACCTAGTGCGCTTGAAGATGAGTAACAGAATGCACTTGGGTGTGGGCGCGTTTGCAGTGTCGCCATGACAGAAATTGCTTCGAGCAGCAAGGCCACGACCCAAAACGAAAGGTGAACCCCGTTAGAAGCCTTGTGATGAATGGTACTTGCCAGCTGCAAGCTTACGTCCAACCGAATCCAGTCACCAGGTTTTAACCATTTGGGCCGCTTCGACTTGCGAGACGAGGCCACAGTTGCAGGTTTTTCTAGAAGGCATCGTGCCGCTCAATGAAAAGGATTGCGAATGTTCGCGGACGATAGTAGTTCTTCGAGCGGAGGCAGGTCGTCGTTGATTGAGCTTGGGTTGTATTAGCGGTTATGTCTCGTAGAAGTGGTAGTGCCAGCTCAAAAGCTAGCGCGAGGGCTAGGGGCTCAGCATCAAGGCAGAATTATCATTACGACCAGCATAATTCTCGTGTTGCTGTTCTGTTCTTCGGGTTATTCTGGTTCATATGTGTCCTGCCTGCTAAACATCATTCCGTGGAGCATGCTGATTTTGATGAATGAAAAGGACGAGGACAGAGAAGTGGTGAGGTTCTTTAGCAGCAGCACCACTACCCTCCTCATCGACATTCGCCGTCATGTTTTCCACTACTGCAAAATGATGCTTATCATCGTTGTAGGTAGCTATAGACCCATCATGCTCCGTAGCAGTGAGCGGATTCCGACGAAGACTACGACTGTGGCGATCCAAAAAAGCAGCTCATCAGCAAAGACCAAACAACACAGCAGAAATCCAGCACCAGCAGCACTCCGTGACCACCACCATCAACAGCAACATGTTCTTTGACGGCAACAAGAACGACCACGTCGGTGGTACGATGACAACACCGACAAGAGCGACGCTTCAAAACGACAACACAAACTATCACAGCAACAGCAGCTGCAGTGCGGAGAACAGGCAGGCTGACATGCTAGCTACAGTTATCTACTACGGGCACTACACGATAAATTACTAGGTTGTCCAGCACCATGCGGTGCTGTGAAGCTGCAGGATGCTGCTGCAGCGCTCTCGGGATGTCTTCTTCGATCGAAGCATTGCCTCAGGGGCCTTTTCTCGGATACCGCTGTTGGCATTGATGTGTTGCACGTGTAGGAGTGCAGGGCTCAATTCTTAAATGGTTTGTAAAGTAGTGGCCAAAGCCGATTGTTGATGCACGCGAGCCTCGTCTGTGTATAGCTGGTTGTTTCATCATATAAGAGTGATCGTCCCCAATCCTGGCCCTGCCGCGATCGTTGAAACTCCAAAAGCCCTGCAATGCTGCGTGATCCTGTGCAGGTCGACATATTCGCGCTTCGGCAAGGCTTTTGACGCCGATTCCAAAAGAACCAACACGGATTTGGAGGGCTTGGCAGCGGGTCTCAAGCTTGCTAAATCCTGAAAGCGGGAACATGGTATTTAGTACCGAGCATCTCACGCTGACATGAAGGGGCACTCTTTGCTTAAGAGCAGTGGAGGCTTCTTCCACAAAGTGCTGCGCGCGCCGCCATGGCTGCAGCTGGGATGCAATAAGCAATACTCCCTGCTGGCTACTCTTAGAGGATGCTACAGGACAGTATTCTGTGCATATATATACACATGCAAATCATACATAATATACATATATAACAACTACATATGAGTTATGCATATACTGATATACTTATAGGGTTTGCTTCAACCCTCGGAGCATATTGGAACTTGCATAGTGCAAGCCGTCCAGTCCAGCAAATACCTCCTGGACCTTCAAACGCTGAAAGCACATTGTAGCAATCTTTCGTGTTCTCATGTCCAAGGCAAAACGGCAGAGGCATCAGCACAAATATCTTACAACAGTCTCCTGCCGCATCACTTTGTCTTTGAGCACAGTGTGGGAGTCACGAAGTCCAGTGGCTTGCATCGGGGATGCTGAAATCGATGTTTGACGGCTGGGCTCCTAGGGTTCAAGGGAACTACATACACTCTTCAAGCGGAAGATTTCTTAATGCCCATTGCGTCCAAGGCCTTGAGAGTAAAGTAAGCTGTAGGGCATCGAAACCTCCGAGATCTACCGCCGGCATTTGGCCTGCGTCGGTTCGTGGATTGTTCGGGTCGGGCGCTTTTTTTTGTAGTTCCAGCTACTCGACTGCGGGGCGTCCACTGCTGAACTTGCCATCCATTGCTATTCGGCCCACCTCCGTTAGTAATTAGGCTCCTGCACTCATCTTGCAGCGAATTCAGGCTTAGTGATCGGAACAGGGTTTGGGGTTGATCTATGTTCAAGTATTGCATGTCGGGACTACCAGGGAACAGTACTTATTACTAGTTGTTCGGGCCTCTGGATGACTCTCGATTCAAACCCGATTTGCACAAGGTGGGCCAACACCTCAAACCAAGGCCAGGGCAAGGGGAGAGAAGTTCGAGTCCTGTTCGCTCCCAATGGGTGCTGAGTTCAGAGGGTCTGGGCTCAATTTTTGCTGACAGTATGAAAGTGTGAAAGTACGGGAGGCCGAAGTAGCACCTCGGGCAGAACGGTGTTCGTCGCAGTGCGGTAATGCAGTCCGGTGGAATCGCCTGGAGTTCACTGCTGGGAGTAGTGTGAGCGTTTCTTCAGTCATTTGGCTTTCGAGATTGCTTCAGGTTAGACTCCCGGGCTAGGTATACAGTTTGGCACCGACGGATAGTTGGAGCCAAACCTGTACTTCCAGCAAGTGCCATGGAACACGGGAAAGAGTCAGCCCTTTCCAAGCAGCTGATGGTCAAGACTCTCTTGGGTTATGGTATCTTCGGTGCTGTCCAGGTTCTTTACCGCCTGCTATCTGGATGGAGGACATCCTCTCGTATGAGAGGCCTTCTGGAAGACATGCCGGCGACGAACGGGGCCGGGCACGATCAGCCTGTTGGTTGGCTGAAGGACTTGGTAGCGAATATCCATCGTATCCACGATTGGCGACTCGAAGTTACTGGCGGGCAAGCAATCTCCAAGAGCCTGGGTTTCAGCTGGCACCCGGGAATGTACATGCTGATTGCGAACGATGCAGAGATCGTCCGCCACATCTTGAAGGACGAGTTCAGCAAGTACACGAAGCCGGACAAATCGATGGATCCAATCTGGTTCTACTTCCAAGAGTTTCTGGGTGATGGCATTTTCGTGAGAAAGCATGGGGTAGGTTCTGAAGATAATGGTCAAGACTGGGGGCATATGCGCAAGGTCTCCTCGCAGATTTTCAGTCGGAAGAATTTCAACAGTCTCATGAACGAGGTCTTCGTGGAGAAGGCAGAAGTCTTGCGCCGTTTTCTGCAGAGATCTCAGGGTGAGACGAAGCAGGTGGACTTGCAATCCTGCTTCTTCAACTTCACCTTCGATGGCATCATGCGCATCTTCTTTGGTGAAGAGTCCAACACGGCAGTAGGTGTTCCGAACAAGTACGGCAAGGCTTTCGACACCGCGCAGAACAACATGAAGTTCCACTCCGTCGATTCCATTGGGGCCTACATCTTCTTCAGCGCATTCTTGCCGTGGCCTCTTGGCGGCCGACATGGAGGATTGGCTCGTTGGCTTTGGGACCGGCTATCTCCGAGGTACCGGACAATGAAGTCAGCATGCCGAGTGCTCGATCGGGAGGCCAACCGCTTGGTCAAGAAGTGTCGTGATGATCCACAGCTTCCCGAGCGACGGGATTTGTTGGCGCTCTTCATTCAGGCGAAGTTCAGCACCGACTTCGTGAAGCAGATGGTCTTGCATTTGATCATCGCAGGCAGAGACACCACGGCTTGCTTATTGTCGTGGACGTTCTACGAACTCACCCGGAACCAAGACGTGCAGTCCCGGCTTCATGACGAGATCATGCAGAAGCTGCCGCCAGGCACCAAACTGGACATGAAGAGCCTGTCGGCCAGCGAAATGCCATACCTTCATGGCGTCATCTACGAAGCTCTTCGGCTTTGGCCTCCGGTGCCTTTCGACCCAAAGATGGCTTTTGAAGACGACGTCCTGCCCGGTGGGTGGAAAGTGCCAGCCCTGGCACAGGTGGCGTACTGTCCATATAACATGGGGCGGGATGCAAAAAGATACCCCGAACCCGAGGCTTTCCGCCCAGAGCGATGGATCCCATTCACAGCGCCGTCTCAACACGAGTTCCCTGTCTTCCAAGCAGGACCACGGATTTGCCTCGGCATGGATATGGCTCTTTTCGAAGCGAAGACTGCTACCGTGGAGTTGCTTCGTCACTGCCGGTTCGAGATGGTACCCGGACAGGATATCACGTACGGAGACAAGATTACCATGGACATCAAGAGCAACGGCAAGGAGGAGTTCCTTGTCTACGTCCGCGACTGGTAGCAGGCCAGTGGCGAACCGGGCCACTAATCCCAACTGGTGCTGGGACAGGCAGGCACTGTTTTAAAGAGGGTCTCACTTTTAGATAGATCAGGAACGAGAAGGAGCTCGTTTGGAGCTGCCTCGCCTGTGAAAGAGACAGAGAATCCTGAAGTTTGCCAGACGGAAACCAGCTGAGCCAGTGCAAACATGAGCGTCGGGACTGTGCCTCGAGGCGTCGACGGAGACAGATGCTTCATTTTGACTACTCCCGAAGCCCCAACTACTCTAGGGGCTTCAATTCGAATGGGATTTTGAGGGCTTCCGATTATTCTTATTAGTATAGTATAGCTTAATTACCCCGAAACCCGATTCATGCAAGTGTCAAAAAAATTGTTAAGGCCCCTACAGCAGGCCCTTCATCGTCGAACCCAGCAGCTTCTGTTTTTCAGGCTTCCGATGGCCGGCTTCTACATCCCAGCTGCGGGACTCCAGTTACCCTCTTCAATGCCTAAGTGTCCATGTATCCAAATAGTATATGCTTTGGCCTTAAAGTCGTCCCTCGAAATATACATATACATACATATGTATATATATATACATATATACATATATTTTTTTATTTACTATAGTCTATCTATTTTATTTCTCTATATATATATATATATGTATAATATTATATATAATATAATGTAGAAAATATAGGTACATGGACCCTTAGGGAATGCTTGGCAATTTGGTGGTTGTGGGCCGGACTTGGGGTTCTGGGCTTCAGATTTGTCAGGTCCTTGACGGACTTGACGCAGCGGCCTGCATCGAAAGGGGAACATAATGGAACATAGAAATGGACTCCACTTGCCCACTTACCGATGCTGGATCGAGCTGGATGTTTGTCTTCGTGTTGTGAATTCCGAATTTACCAAAGCTACGACTGTGATCATGAAGGCAGTGTTGTGAATCGCAGCACCTCTATTCGCTGCCGTGGGTCACAGGTGGTAGGACACGTAGCAGCTGTACAACTGAAGCAACTTCCGGCAGGCCGTAGCTTCTCGATCAAACGAGATCACTCGGCATTGTGCGTATCAACAACGCAGACGTGCGAACCTGCGACCGCTTCCTGCAGTTCTGGCTCCAAGTGGAAATATTCCGCTGAGCCAAAGATGGGGTGCGCCAGCAACCTGTCTGCAGCAGGGGTTGGTTTCGGGCGGCCGTCGTCACGCATATTCATATATTATGGCATCATGCCTGACGCTGATCCAACCAGACGGTGGCTTCGACCGGGCGTCGGGGATTCTAGATTCTAGTGTTCAGGACAGGTGGCAGATTCCTTCATAGGTTTTCATTGCGACGCAAGCTCCATGCCTTGAGCCCAACCCCTCCGTGCCAGACTCCAAGCAGGCCAGACCTCCTCGGACGATCTGGATGATCCACAAACAAAATAGGAAGCCTTGATGGGGATCAGACTTCTGTCCCTAAACCCCAACGCACTTTCCGACATGACCTCTACATGGCCTCGGCCGCATGCTTTCTAATGGCGTGTAGTTAGTGTAATTGCCATGTTGCTCAGTGGAGGCAGCGACGGGTTTTCGTAATTCAGGGTGTTGGGTGTGGTTTGAAGTGGCATGGGGCGCCACAGCATGCCTGGCTTGATCAGCCTCAAGACTTAATGGTTGTGTATAACTGTATAGCAGGCTTTAAGCAAACTGTTGTCTATTTCTGCTCGCGATCAGGCCCAACAGTAGCACGCTCTAAATATGTAAACCCGAAGCCTTGATAGGACCCGTATAGTCATTGTTACAGTACCCCTTAGAGGACCCTGAGCTCAGGCTCCGTAAATGTTGCGGTGACGCCCCTCGGCTGCGGAAGCATTGGGGTGCATCGTCAAGAGTGTTAACATTGCACTACATGTCTGGATGACTTCTGGTTTCTTTCTGCTGGGAGAACAGAACATAATAGAGTGGCCATGGAGGGCCACGGCACCCGTCAACACGCCTGTTCGCCATGCCACCTGCTCTGATCTAGTGGCGTTTGCACCCTGCCTGTGTTCACCGGATTGTCGAGCAAACCGCGTTGAAGTATAATGCTTGGAGGGGTTCCTGCTGGAGCCCGAAGCCAAGTTGTGGTAAGATGAGCGGTGCTACATGCAGAATCTTCCCAAAATCATGGCAGTTGATGGCAGACTCAGATTGAATATGCTTAACTTTTTGCTTCTCTTTCGTCTACTTAGCAGGAGTTTCAGATGACACCTACAGTAGTCGGAATCGACCCAAGGAGCAAGGACACCTTCCTTGCCAATGTGGCGGCCGTGAACTCGCAGAGTCCGACCTTTCCCAATGGACAGAACTTGGTTCAAGGACGGGCGTCGGTGAGCAGTCTAAGGATCACCGGACCCTTAGAATGGCTGGGCTGCCCTGAAGCCCTGCAAGTTTTGACGGCCACTAACGGCGATATCAGGGTGAAGGATCATCCTCGCATTTTGTAGTTCTGTCGTATGACTGATGAATGACAGAAGCATCCTACCCGTCCCTCTCGCGAAGCAAATCAAGAATCAGAATATGATCCTGATTAGCATGTTCGCCCGGTTCAGGTGTTGAGAGCTCCAAGGATGCAGGATTTGAGGCTGTAGTGGTGTTGAACCTCGTGAGGTTCGAACAGTGCTGGTGTCTAGGAAGTGCTCCGGCTTTTTCGTTCGTACGGCCAACTTTTTAGGTTGCGTTGTACGGGCTCTTGGAATGTCTTTGGTCATCTTGTTTAAAGGTTCTAAGATGCATTGCCTGGCGGCTCCTTCCGGAGAGTTGGCCTTGGCCTTTCTGCACCTGCAGGCCCGACCTTGCTACAACGGGATAGAAGCTCGAAGTGTTTATTCATGGAACCTATGGAGTCTCTTGCAAGACCCCAGTACGTCCTGGCACAATGATAAAAAGTGCCGCCAGTCCCCGATCGTCATGAGTCGCTTGTCATTTCTGAGCTCTAGCTGCGAGGAATGTGCGTCAGCGGAGGCGCCTCCCGATCTGTTCCTGGATTCACTATGACTATAAGTACATGACTATACTATACCGTACGATATTATACTCTGCTCTAGAGCCACGAGAGCGATCTGCCGGGATTTTTGGGTCCGTTTGGATTGAACAGACAGCGGAGCCTGAGCTTGAGGGTTTTTGGCTTGTCGGTTTGAGGACTCGCTGTGCCGCTTTCGGGGGCATGCTTCGCGCTTCATCTGGTGCAGCCATTGGTGATTCCGGTATCCTAGACATTTTTCTTGTCATGTTGATGGCGTCGTTTGCCGCACGGCGGTTCAGCAGCTCTCAGTTCAACGGTATCCCTGGGAAATTTGCATGGCTGGGTCCCCAGCATAGGATTAGGTTAAAGCTTTCTTCGAGGACCGCTAGCTAACCTTAGGCGTATGGAATAATCGACGTCCATGGGTGTAAGAAGTTTTGGCCTGTAGAGGTGATAGATTGGCGGAACATGCCGAGCCAAGTGCCGTGCTCGTCGTTGTGTTGCTGGCGTCGTCGTAGTACTACGAGAACATCATACATAGACTTATTAAGAACAAAGCAATAGCAATAGCACATAGAAAGCAGCTGTGAGCTTGGCAGGAGGATCCCGAGCCTTTTCTTTTTCTTCGGGCATCTATCGGGCTCTGAACGCCACTTGACTCACAGAAGCCCCCAGCAGGACGAAGACCGCAAGCAGCGGTTTGAGCACACAATCATCCACGCTCTACACCCCTTTCTCTTTTCAGCCGCCTTGCACAGCCTTTGACAGTGAAGTGGGGGAGCTGCGGGCGTCTTCGGAAGGTTTCCAAGTTTGCCTTTCTTGCGCACAAACCCACCGAGGCGTTCCTACGTTTATTTGTTCTATGATCAATCAATGCACCATAGATCTTTTCGGCTTTTAAACCATGGTTTTCTTTGCCTGATGGCTCTAATTCGCGAGGAAGCCGGTGAAATGTTTCACATGTCACCTGAGCTTGATGATCCCAGCACTGCCGCCGAGGATCTGAATCTTCTTCCAAAGCTTGAAGGAATCAGTGTCTTGACGGTTCAAGTGGACTCAAGGTCTGGGTCATGGTCTCCTGGCACCCCGTCACCGCGCAGAGTTTGTTTCCACGCGATCTTGTGTACCGCTGACCTACAGCGTAAACAGGTTATGCTATACATAAATATCGCATATGTAATGACTGTGCCACATGTCTGGGCGGCGAGAAGGTATTTCAGAGACCGCGATTCTTCCTTGGAATCTTTCTTGCCAAGGCTCCGTGAGCGGCGGTACATGGTGCTCCTCCGTGGTGATGTTTGCGATGCCATGGCTTCCATCAGCACGTTTTTGTTGTAGGTGGATGGGGTTGGATGTGTTGAGAGTTGAAGCTTTCAAGAGCAGTTGGACCCAAGACAGCTTGGAGCTGGTTCTAACAAAGCGATACCACCAGCCTCTTCCATTATATATCTGAGAAGGTCACCCTTTCCTCGCAGCAAGTGTTGTGTGCCATCCCGAAGTGCAAAGCTTCGTATGGACCCTCGCTGCAAGTGACAATCAACCAGGCACTACTGCTGCCGCCTTGGAATGTTGCATGATGTAGAATGGCCAATCCAAGCCCTAAACTGCAGACACCTTGTGGTTTCATGTGGATCCCATGCCCTTAATCCCAAACCCCTTCAGACCTCTCGAATCCACAGCCCCTCAATTTCGCTGAACCCCCTCCCCGCCCCATCATTGACACGCAAGCGCGGTGATTCAGGAAAGAGTATGCGGGCAACCCCATAGAGCTTGATGATGCTTGGACTCGTGATGAGGTTTCGCGACAATGCGCCACGTAGGCCTAGCATGGCATTACTCAGCTTGTTACTTTTCGTCCAGCAAAAACGAGAGGTATGAGTCGGTATGAGAGTGCTTCCAAAGCAAAGGGACTCTTCTCTGGGGTTCTGCATCTGCATGCTTAGCTCTGCGAAACGATGCCCAAAGGGCCCCCCAAAAAAGCACATAAGCAAAAGCTAGAGTAGGGATATCCCATATAAACCCCCTTATAATGAAGGCCAATAAGGTAGGGATATCCTCATAAAATGCTTATGACTATGTGCTTTTTGGGGTCCCTGAAAGATGTCCATGCTAGCTTAGCTGTTACATGCAAGCTGCTTGCTCGGCGTTTGTGCGCGGTTCGTGAGTTGTGAAAGAGTGTCACAATTCCCCTCATGTTTGGCTCCCCAGAGCAGTGAAACGGCCCTGAATACCGTACGGTCGGCAAGATAGTGCTGAGTGGACTCATCATAAGGACCAGGAGGGGGAGGAGGAGGAGCAGAACCATCGGTGGATGGGGGAGGGGAGGGGTGGACCGCATTGATCGCCAGGTCCAGGTGAGTTGGTAGTCTCGGTTTTAATTCGGCTTGGGTTTAGGGTCGTCGGGTCGTCATTGGTGAGCGTCGAGAAGCCACAGCACGAAGAGCGACTAGACGTGCCAACCAGACCTGGTGTTCCTTGTGTGGGCAT